AAGATATAAAAATAAAATTAGCGTTATTTTTCTAACTAATGAATTATTTTTGAAGAACTGAAGGTGTCACTATGTCACTATGTGTCACTCGGTAATTTAACTTCTCTGAAAAATAGTGACAACATGACATTTTGACAACATGACATTTTGACAACATAGTGGGATTAATGAGGAAGGCATTTATTCATTATTTTTGAAGAACTGAAGGTGTCACTATGTCACTATGTGTCACTCGGTAATTTAACTTCTCTGAAAAATAGTGACAACATGACATTTTGACAACATAGTGGGATTAATGAGGAAGGCATTTATTCATTATTTTTGAAGAACTGAAGGTGTCACTATGTCACTATGTGTCACTCGGTAATTTAACTTCTCTGAAAAATAGTGACAACATGACATTTTGACAACATAGTGGGATTAATGAGGAAGGCATTTATTCATTATTTTTGAAGAACTGAAGGTGTCACTATGTCACTATGTGTCACTCGGTAATTTAACTTCTCTGAAAAATAGTGACAACATGACATTTTGACAACATGACATTTTGACAACATAGTGGGATTAATGAGGAAGGCATTTATTCATTATTTTTGAAGAACTGAAGGTGTCACTATGTCACTATGTGTCACTCGGTAATTTAACTTCTCTGAAAAATAGTGACAACATGACATTTTGACAACATGACATTTTGACAACATAGTGGGATTAATGAGGAAGGCATTTATTCATTATTTTTGAAGAACTGAAGGTGTCACTATGTCACTATGTGTCACTCGGTAATTTAACTTCTCTGAAAAATAGTGACAACATGACATTTTGACAACATGACATTTTGACAACATAGTGGGATTAATGAGGAAGGCAAAAATAAATTCCAATCATACTTTATAAAGCTTCATTTACAGGTATTTCATCGTCAGTAAATGAATCCTCATTATCGTTTGGTTCAACCTGTTTATATAATTCTTTCATTTCTTCTTTCAAAACATAATACCATGTCTGTTTACCATCTATTCTTCTCTGTTTCTTATCACATTTATCTTTAATGCTCATTTGGAAATTCTTGTCTTTCATGTCTGATGGTTTGCAGAATAGAACATTTTTACACGTCATACCTGCACACAATTCATCATAATGTGTATTTATCCATACATCTAAAGGATTTGATGATAATTCAATTAAATCTTGTTTGGCTTCAGTCATCGGAATGATTCGTACATTAAATGATGAAAGGTCGTAATTGATAAAATACGTCAGTAAATTATCATAAAATTCCTTTGTGCATGAATTCATCAAATTCTTGAAGTAATCAAATTGACCCTTAAATTTACCATTAACTCTTAAAACTACATATCTTCTGTCTCCAACTTCAATTTTGACAGGGTAGACGTTATTAGTTACGAAAATGAAGTTTGCAACGTTCAGAGCAGTTCTTCTGGGTTGATTCTTTTCATTAATTCTAATCTCATTATCCGTTATAATTGATTTCAAAGCGTTGAAGTTTGCGAGTCTATCTTCACCTACATTCTTGAGTTCATTAAGTACAAGAAACATTTTATTCTCAACTACTGAATTGAAATTACCCGTTAGCTCACTTATTTCAGTAATGTTTTTGCATGAATAACCAGCGAGAAGTTCAGAAATAATGTCAGTGAATCTGTTTTTACCTGTTCCCTGAAGTCCTTTCAAAATAATTGCTGTTTCATTCTTGATTCCAGGATGTTGAATCATTGATGCAATCCAGCCGAGAAGGTATTTATACACTTCATCGTTATTATCACAAATGGCTTCTTTAATGAAATTCATAAACATCTCAATTTTTGAGTAATCAGGCTTTTCGAGAATGTTGTATTTATAACCTTGAAACGTTGAGAAAACATCGGGAGAATCAGATTTAAAGCAAACACCCTCAACTGTTAATGAAGACAGTTGATTTAATAGTACATCCCATGCTGTTATTGTTTTACCTTCTTCTTTAAATAATTTAATCATTTTAAGTGACTCTTTCATGTTTGATTGAAGAACGAATGATATTTGATTCATTTTATCATGAATATTATAGTCCTTTTGAATGAAATATTTATTTCCACAATCTACAAAACGGATTACACGTGATAAATCCTCAATTACTTCAGAACTGTTTTTATACTGATGATTTTCAGCCTTGCGTCTAATATCTGTTATCAAAAACGAGTCGTCAAGTTTGATATCAAATGTTATTTTCGGCTTACGTAATAAAGGTAAAACGTATTCATCATAATATTCCTTTTGATAAAGTTTTAGAATCTTCACTAAAACAAATGGAGAAGTCATTAAATGTGCATATCTACTACGTGCTTTTTCAAAATTACTTTTTGCATTTTCTGTTAAACTGCAAAAGTTATAAACGTTATCGTATGCTTCATTAATTAAATGATTAGGTAACGAATTAATAGCTTGAAACAGTGTGAATAATGTAACTTCTTTTTCTAAATTCATATTTCCACCGTCATTATGTACTTCAAAATCACAGATGCCATCAACTATGCTCTGGGCAAGTTTATCGTCAATGTTTACATCTTTGTTTTCATTCATGATAGTCTTTATTTATTCGTTCTTCTGTTCAACTCTTACCTTAATATTCAAATCATTTAATATATCGTTTACTGTTCTGGTTAATGTTGAATCATAACTTCCACGAATGAATGAGTATGTATTGATTGGTTCTGTTGCATTCTTGCGAACTCTTGATTCAGCCATAATCACTAAAGAACGCTTTGAATCATCCATAGAAGTCATGATATCGATATCATAATCATTGCAGGAATAACATTTAATCATTCTGTTCGAAACTGCATAGAAGAAATTAGTGTTGCAATAAATGTGAAGACCTCCTGAAGCGGTTTTAACGATAACATCTTTATCCGAAAGTTTTGATAGAATGTCTTTTCTAACTGTTTCTTTAAGTTCATCATTGTACGATTTATTGATATCAACATCTATAATCGTTAAATTTGATATTTTATTTACTAATAAAGCCATACCAGTTTTCCTTCCTCTTCCTCCATCGTATTTGAGGTAGTTATGTAAATCAATCTTGTTTTCACCAATTCTTTCGTTGAGGGTTTTAGTTTCTGCCATAACTAATTCCTCAGCTAATTCCTCAACTAATTCCTCAACTAATGAATCAACTTTTTCATCAGAAACGATATAGTTGCTGTTGTTGTTTGTTGCTGTCATTTATATAGGAATAAAAAAATAAAAATAATTTTAAAACTAACTTTATTTTTGCATTAATCCCACTATGTTGTCAAAATGTCATGTTGTCAAAATGTCATGTTGTCACTATTTTTCAGAGAAGTTAAATTACCGAGTGACACATAGTGACATAGTGACACCTTCAGTTCTTCAAAAATAATGAATAAATGCCTTCCTCTCGTGTTGTTGACATAATGTCATGTCGTCAACATAGTGACATAGTGACACCTTCAGTTCTTCAAAAATAATTCATTATTGCCATCCTCCTATGTTGTTGTCAAAATGTCATGTTGTCACTATTTTTCAGAGAAGTTAAATTACCGAGTGACACATAGTGACATAGTGACACCTTCAGTTCTTCAAAAATAATGAATAAATGCCTTCCTCTCGTGTTGTTGACATAATGTCATGTCGTCAACATAGTGACATAGTGACACCTTCAGTTCTTCAAAAATAATTCATTATTGCCATCCTCCTATGTTGTTGTCAAAATGTCATGTTGTCACTATTTTTCAGAGAAGTTAAATTACCGAGTGACACATAGTGACATAGTGACACCTTCAGTTCTTCAAAAATAATGAATAAATGCCTTCCTCATTAATCCCACTATGTTGTCAAAATGTCATGTTGTCACTATTTTTCAGAGAAGTTAAATTACCGAGTAGCAGTGAAATAAAATTTTGTTATCAGTTATTTTATCATCATTTTATTAAGTTCATCTTTAGTTAATAATTTGAATGGATTCGCTAATGTTCCACCTTGAGTCACATCACCTGCCCTGACTAATTGTGAAGAACCTGGGATAATTACTCCACGAAATGATTTCATTGGTATCATTAATTTAGAAATAGTTGGCTTAATTAATTTTGTCATTTATGATAAAAATAAAATTACATAATTTAAATTTTTTTCTTTCTCATTTTTTTTCCTGTTTTGGTTTCAGTAACTTTTCAAGTTGTTGTCTTGTCAGTAACTTTAATTTTAACTTTGGATCAAATATTGGGTTTCCATCTTTATCTCTTCCGATAACACCATATGGTAGAATCTTCATTTATACTAAAATAAAAATTTAAATTATGATGTTCGCTCTTTTGGAGCTCCTAAAGTTTGTTTCACAAACATTGAGCGTTCATTGAACTCTATACCATGCGTAAACTGTCATGTAAGGTGGCATGTAGTCTTTACTTTGTCCCGTTGTTTGTGTATATCCTGAAACGAAATGTGTATGGTTTCCTTCTCCCTGAGTGTCATCCCAGTAACAATTTATAGCAAACTTAACGTCGTCTTTAACATCATATCCTTTACCTTTTGTCATTCCTGACCAATCCCAATATCTATGCTTATGCCAACCCGCTTGAGATGTACTTAAATCTATGTAGTGACTGTGTGCAGGTAAATTTTCACCTGTAATCGTTTTACTTCCACCCATTTCCTTTGAAGAGTTTGCACAATACAAAAACCTGTCGACTATTTGTTCCCATGCACCAACACCAAACATTACTTGAGGACCTCTTGCATCCATAGACGTATAAATAGAACCTACTGGGTTCATTAAATCAAACATATGAGATAATATAGGATTGTCTATTTTGAACTTAAAATATAGTGCAACTATTTCAGGTTTCTTCTGGTTTGTGTCGGAATATTTTTTATAATATAATCTTATGTTTTCAGGGTAGGTAAAATCTTGACTATAATATTTATTTTTGTCATCCGTATAATAATATACTATTCTCGTTTTTTCTATTGCATTATATCTTTTATATCTATAATAATCTAAATATAATGTTAACTTTTGTTCATCTACATGTGGTGTTCTGACGTCATCTCCATAGTCATAATAATATGGTGCTGGAGCTAGGTTAGACAATGTCATATCTGTCATTTCATAAACTCTTAAATATTTCTTTTGTTCGTCTCCATATAAGTTTAAGTAACAGTTGTTGTCTAATGGAACTTTAACTTGTGTACCATCATTCTTTATATAGCTTACATACATTTCATTGTTATTTTTCGGAATGAGTTTACACCGCATACCATTTCTTAAGGACTGTACAAACTGCCATCTAAAATATTTATTTTCTTCATTGACAGAAAAGTCACCAACAATAGTTTCAATATTTTTAGTTGTTCCTATCAAACTTTGGTATATTCCATTAACATATTCATTATCTGCCTTCTTCTCTAACTCACTGTTGACATATTCCTTATCTGCTTTAAGGTCTAAACATCCTGAAACCCACCCTGTATCAGCTTTAGTTTTTAAAATCTTTGATGCCCATTCATGATACCATTCAACCCTTTCTTTAATTTCATTATCTTTTTCATTAACATATTCCTTATCTGCTTTAAGGTCTAACTCACTAGCCACATATTCCTTATCTACCTTCTTCTCTAACTCACTGTTGACATATTCCTTATCTGCTTTCTTCATTAACTCACTAGCCACATATTCCTTATCTACCTTCTTCTCTAACTCACTGTTGACATATTCCTTATCTGCTTTCTTCATTAACTCACTAGCCACATATTCCTTATCTGCTTTCTTCATTATGTCATTTAGGAAACCTTTTATGAATTCCTCATTTAAATTAAATCTTCCAATCTTCAAAACTTTAGGAAATGCATTTAATGCGTAATATCTTTGTTCTTCTGGTGGAATTGATGTTATATCATCCGTTATTCCTTTAATTTTTGAATTCATAAATAAAATTTCTTTTATATTTGATATCACTGCACCACCTTTGCAAACGAATTCGAAATGGTCATTTTTCAATACTATCTCCAAATCTCCATATTTCAACCTTTGCGTTTGTTCTGCCGTCTTTGAATTATATGCATATATGGCGTATGTAATGGTCTGAAGGACCTGGGTGCTTTGTGCCTTAAGTTGCTGTGGTTGCTGTTGTTTAATCATTTATTATGATTTAAAAATATTTAATCCGTTATCTCATCAGCTATTTTTTCTATTTGAAATTGCCATAATATTTCATTCATGAATTCTAAATCACAATCAAATAGGTCAGTTATTCTAAATTTAATATTTGATAAATCTTTTGAATGAAGAATAAATGAATTCCCGGATAATTGAAACGGATATGATAAAAGAAAATGTGTTTAAGTTGATGGATAAAATGTTTTGTATTGATGGGTAAGAGTTAGGGTCTAATGTTTGATGTGAAAATCTCATTGGGGTATTAACTTTATCACATTTGATTAAAATGAAATTGGAACCAGTGTCAGAATACAAAACATCCCCAACATCTTTTTCAAAATTTTGTAATGCATGAAAATTCGGTTCAATTCATTTTTGACACTTTACATATCGGATGTATTATCTAAGAATTATATTATAAAATAATAATTTTGTGTTTTATAAGTTTATTTGTATAAATTGATTCAAAAAAAATGGAAAGACAAGAAGTGGATCTGCCAAATGAAAATCAGAACTGATTGCACCCAAGTTTTTGAACTTTATATAAGGAATTGTTGGCTATGATGTACTGATCATGAATCAGTACATCATAGCCAACAATTCCTTCCCAAACAACCCGAAATTTGTCTGAATAGTTTAACATTCAGACAAAGTTTCCCGCTGTCAGAGAGGGAATGGAAGGGTAAGAGGTATACATTATGAATATATACCTCTTACCCTTTCATTCCCTCGAGAAAGTTCAAAAACTTGGGTGCAATCAGTTCTGATTGCACCCAAGTTTTTGAACTTTATATAAGGAATTGTTGGCTATGATGTACTGATCATGAATCAGTACATCATAGCCAACAATTCCTTCCTAAACAGCGGGAAACTTTGTCTGAATAGTTTAACATTCAGACAAAGTTTCCCGCTGTTTGCGAAGGAATGGAAGGGTAAGAGGTATACATTATGAATATATACCTCTTACCTTCCATTCCTCGAGAAAGTTCAAAAACTTGGGTGCAATCAGAACTGATTGCACCCAAGTTTTTGAACTTTGTATAAGGAATTGTTGGCTATGATGTACTGATCATGAATCAGTACATCATAGCCAACAATTCCTTCCTAAACAGCGGGAAACTTTGTCTGAATAGTTTAACATTCAGACAAAGTTTCCCGCTGTTTGCGAAGGAATGGAAGGGTAAGAGGTATACATTATGAATATATACCTCTTACCCTTCCATTCCCTCGAGAAAGTTCAAAAACTTGGGTGCAATCAGAACTGATTGCACCCAAGTTTTTGAACTTTGTATAAGGAATTGTTGGCTATGATGTACTGATCATGAATCAGCACATCATAGCCAACAATTCCTTCCCAAACAACCCGAAATTTGTCTGATTCCACACTAATTTTATTAATTTATCTAAACTTTTATCCTCGTCTACAATTTATCATCAATAATTATCTCTTGTTCTATTTCACTATTATATATATATATATATTTATATGATTTGATTTAAAAAAAATAAATAAATAAATTAATAAATCATTTACTCAAATATATCAAAAGTTTTATTTTTATATATAAAGATAACTACTTTTAAAAAAAATACCCTATATATTTTTGCCATGTAAATTATTTTTGTCATGTAAACTTGTCACTTTTTGTCAGAAGTGAAGTGAACCGAATTTTCATGCACAACATCTTTTTCAAAATTTAATATCCCCAACAATGAACGAAAATGAGGAGTACAAAATTTAATTTTCAGCGGAAATTTAATAAGGTTATTTATTTCATCAAGTTCAAAAAGTTTATCGGGTTTTGATTTAAAATTTTCTTCATACCATACGATAAATGATTCATTTAAATAACTTAAAATCATGTTAATATCCCATTTCGCTATCACATTATTTATATACATATCATACGTTTTTTCAAGGTCATCTTTAATAAATGATATATAATCTGAAGGGTCTAAAAGAATGGGATTAAATTTACCACTCACAGAAACGAGAGTAACATTATAAATTCCGCTAACTGTTAAATTTAATTCACAGCTATTATTCGAAATAATATTGATAATTGACATTTTTATTACGATTAAAAATATGGTAAAGCGTTATTTTCCAGTGATAAATAAAACTAGAATAAGATTACCTCAAGAATTCATAAATTCAACGAATAAGAAATTCATTCATGTTATAAATTTTAGTGTTTTCAGAAAATATGAGTCAATGTCATATTCATCAACAGGTTATATTTCACTTCATTCAAATTTAGTTCAATCAAACCCATATAATGACCATTTCATAAGATTTTCAGATGGTATTAAAAATGTAATTGATAGATTAAAATATGAACAGATTGACAATATCGAATTTTTGGAATTTTGGTTTAAATATCCTGATGGAAAAAAGATTGAAGTTAAAGATAAAGCTGATACTATAACAAAAACAATTACAATGACCGATCCAGATAGTGGGGAACAAAAAGAAATAAAACAAACGATAGAAACTGGTGAAAGGTCAATTATTATTGATTATGATTCAAAGGATTATTATTCGATAATGTTAATGCTTGAATATTAAATAGCCTTAACAAAGAATTTTTCAAGTGATATTTTATATTCATCAACTATTTTATTGTATATGTTATTATAAGTTAAATGAGTTCAGTTGTTGTTCCGTTCTTTGATATCTTAATTGTGCTAATATCCTTTATAGGATTTATTTTTGCAACTGTTCCGCAGCATGAAACCTCATCATCTATGAAAAATTGAATCTTAACGTCTGAATCTTGAACATCACAAAGAATGGCGATAATGTGAATTAATGATTCATAAGGTAAAATAATTAAACCAGATTGGTCAATTAAATTTATTATTGAATCATAATTATTAATTATTATATCACGGTAAATTTTCATTAATTCAGAATTAATGTCTATTTTATATGGCGCATTGCGACTGGAATCGTAGATTCCTGGGTTCTCGATGTTTGATGAAAGAGGTGGGGGGTATGTTGGATAAGTGGGAATTTCAACAGGTTCTTTACCGGTTCAGATAAAATGATTGGGTCTCATCTTCTTTATTTTGCTCCTCCTCTTTTCGGTAAGTCACGAGTTAATAAATTTGGTTGAGTTGCTGACCTTGTTAATTCAGGACTAACATTAACTTTAACATTTTGAATAATTCGTGATTTATCATCATTTACGTTATAACCAACCGTAATCTCTGCTTTTGCGTTTGTGTTCTTTTGACTTGTGAAACGTCTTCTCATTTATAATTGAATAAAAAAAAGAAAAATATATTTAAAGTTTTATTTAGTTGTTACGGTAATATCCCAAGGTTCATCCTTGTTTGCTTATACTTTCTTTGTAACTGCACCAATTATGTTATTGATATTGCTTTGAGTTTCTTCCAGTCTTATTTTATCATTTACAATATCTTTAATCATTTCATTACATGCATTCTTAAAACCATCTGATTTTTCTAATTTACGTCTATCACTTTCTTTAATTAAATCAAAGTTATAACCTTGTTGAGAATAAAGTGGTTTCTTTATCAATTCCTTGAACGCTTCTGAAAGTGAAGATGAAGAAATTCTTGCCACTTGAATTGGTTTAAATTCTGCTTTCATTGCTTCTTTCTGTTCATTGAACACTGGATCGAATAAAGCAACTTTAAAGAATTTCTTAGCTGGAATTTCGGGTCTAATATTTGCATATTGACCATCAAACTGGTTAAATATCGTGGTAATCCATCCAGTCCCTCTTCAATAGCATTTAATTCTGCATTGAAATAAGAATATGGATTATGACGGTATGAATTAATTGGACCATGTTCACCTTCTCCAATGTATTGTTTAACAGCTTTTCCATTTTCATCAAATTGCATAGGATAACGTTCATTATATGCTTTACGTTTAGGATAATCCGTCATTGTTAATTTATAACCATTTATGACTTTAATATTACCTTGACCATCAGTAACGAAAACTTCATTTATACCATCAGGTTTTCCATTTGGTCCTGTAATGTCTGCTTCATGTGCTTCCCAATTTGGTCCATGACGTTTGGCATATGCTTGAGCTTCTGGTAATGTTAAAACGTTTCTCATTTGTTTAACATCCTTTTGAAGACCGGCAACAATGTGGACTAATTCTTTCATTCCGTCTGGAACTTTCATAGTTCTATTATATGCACCCTTTTTGTTTGTTCCTTGTTTTATGGAACCTGTAGAAGATTTGCTATTTCTGTCATGTTTAATTATAAATAAAAAATAAAAATTAATTATAAAAAGTTAATCAAATTTAACACCTCCTTTATTTAAATCAACTATTATTTTTCCATGTTCACCTAATTGTTGATATTGTGTGTAAAGTTCATTAATGCTCATTGGTAAATTCACTTGATAAAGCATAACGTTCAACTGTTGACGACTAAACCCACTGAAAATGAAAAGGTGGACAGGTTTGATTTAATGTTTGTGCTTAATGCTTTAAAGTATTGAACAGCCATAAAGAATGAACATTGAATATGTCGACATTGAGTTAATAATTGATTAAAATATGATTTCTCATTAGTTATTAGTTTTGATTTCACGGCATCATCTAGAAAAATTAGTGAATGCAAAAATTCTTTATCAAAATTTGAAATAGAAAGTGTTTCAAATAATTCATCCCTTGTTTATCATAATTTTATCCTCTAATCCTTGCTTCTTGATTGTATTATATAATTCTTTATACATTAAAAAGTTTTTTAAATAATCTTCTGCTTCTTCTTGTGATAAATAAATAATTGGAATTTTGATTAAATGCTTTAAAGATTCAAATGTATCATCTGAAGGTGAACCTGAACGGTTGATATAAATTAACACATGTGAATGGGGGGAAGTGTTAGCAATAATGATAATTTGTTTTAATATCGTTAATGTTTTACCTTTATTTTGTTTACCAATTGCTGCAGTGATTGAATTTAAGTAACATTCAGAATATGGAATTTTCATTAATTTTTCCTTAGATAAAGCATTTCTATTATCACTCAATGCTTCATTAATCATATCATCTACGTATGTATTATATACTCCCGCTAATTCTTCATAAGGGGTGGATGAATTTAAATCCATTTAATCAAAAATAAATTTATAATTTTAAACATTTCTATTCATCAATATTTCATCATATGAACTTCTATACTGCGGTGGTACCTGTTGGATGATATTTCAAACCTTCGTCCGTGTCCATGTCCAATATGTAGTCCTAGTAAACCAAACCTGAGGAGGATTTGTCACCTTTGAACAGTAAGTGTCATTTTCACCCTGAATGATTGGATAAGCTTTCACTTGTACTGTAACTTGTGAGTTGAAAGTTTCTAATCCATCAAAGAATATACCCGCTCCATCACGTTGAACTGGAATAGTGCATAAGAATGAAGTTTGGTCTTTCCATGTTCTAGCTAATGGCGTGCCATCATCATTCAGTGGTCTAGTTAATGAGTCCTCGTATTCTTCTGTGCATTCATTCACTCCATCTAAATCAGAAGCTTGAAGCATACGTGTAAAGAATATGTCACCCACTGTGGTCATCGCTTGATCGGGGAAGTTTCTGGAATCTATAGTGACCTGAAGACCTCGAAGCATTGGATTTTCTAAAACTGTTCTTTGCATTGCATTCTTCGGAAATGTTAACACAACATCTGTAACATTATGAAGAGCGTATGAGAAATCTGAGCTAATACCTTCAGGAGTGATGCAACCTCCATTTAGTGAACGAACGTCAATATGTTGAGCTGGAATCATGAATGGATCTTCCTTACTGAATAAACGTGGTATTGCTTTAAACTGATTCTTCAATTAAACCGTATCCTGGTGTAATGCATTTATCCTCTAAAACTTCCATCTTTGTGCATGAAATAATAACGTCATTAACTGTTGCGTCAGCAGATGTAGCGGCTAAGCTTGTAATTAATTTGGCAGGAAGTCCGATTTGTTGGAATTTGCGATCATATTTATAAACATGATTCATAATCTTTTCATAATTTTCATCAGTTATCTTTTCATAAACGTAATTTTGTAAATCAGCAACTCTTAACGGGTCAACCTGACAAAATACTAAAGTATCCCTGAAAACATAATATTTAAGAATGATATCACCAAATGATTTAGGATAATCATCGAACGCCTGAAATGCTAACAAATCATTTACCGGAATAATCATATCAAAAGTGATATCAACTTCTTCATTTGCTCTCTTGAAAACTTCTGAAGGGTCAATATATTTACCACATACTGAGTTATCATATTTTTGAACATTATTATATAACGAATGAACAAACTTTTTAACTTTCCTTTCTGATTTTGGTTTATATGTTGCAAATGCGAAAGATTCACGGGCGCAATCCATCTGAAGATAACCGGCATCACCTCTTTCGGTTTCTACTTCTAATTGTTTAAAGCTTTGATTTGATGATTTGTAACCAACGAATAAACGCATACATTTAAAAGTGGCATCACATGTGAAAGCTTTATTTGAAACTAGAGTTGCTTTAACTTTGCGTTTAATATATGTGTCACCTAATTGATTCACATCATGAGCTGGATTTGTAATTCTTAAGTGAGTTTGTTTATCATCAAAATATGGAGCATCAGAGTCATAGCATGAACTTTCAAGTTCTCTATAATATCTTCTACCATCATTCTTTGCGAATATTTCATTTATCTTTTCGAATGAATGAAACACATTTCCATTAATCGGTTTAGTGTTTGGCACCAAATAGTTAGTCGTCATTTATTAATAAATAAAAAATCAAAATTAAAATATGAAAATGAATTTTTAATTTTAATGAAATAATCAACTATGGCTGCAGGTATATTTAAGAAACTGTGGGATAAAGTAAAAAGAGGAGCGAGTAAAGTTTGGGAAACATTGAAGAAGGGGGCAAATTGGATATTTAAGAATAAAGAAGCAATTAGTGACGTTGCTGAATCAATAACGCCAAAAGCTGCCCAATAAGAGAAATATTAAATAAAGGAGAAAAAGTTTATCAAAGACTACAACCGATACTAAGATAAAAATAATATTTATTTATTTTTCCACTATCTACCTCCTATTTTATTAAGTATTCCTTCAGCTATTCCACCAACTGCGTTACCTGCTTGTGCTCCCATCGCCGGATTACCTGCTTTAGCACCTAATACTCCACCTATGATAGTTCCTGCCGTTTTCGCTACTGGTGCCAAAAAGTTTGCAATGGGTTTAATAATCTTTTGATGAACCCAACCCGCAGCTTTCTTAATTCCATCCCATAATTTTTTAAAGAATCCTGCCGCCATTTCTGATTTAATATTAATTAAAAAATATATTTCATCACTTATATTCTAATTTTTATTTAATGATAAATGAAACCAATTTTAAAAATAAATGAAACAGAGGAGGAAGAAATAAATGAAAGTGAAAATGTTCAACAAAAAAAAACGTTGTTAAACCAATTACTGAAATAAAAATTTTTTCATCTGTTGAAGAATTTAATGACTATTATGCTAATAATAAAAATTATTTGAAGAATTGACAACATGTAAATTGAATAAAATGTTTAAAGTTGATGGATTCAAAATTTCAAAAATAAAAGGAGTGGTTAGTTTGAAATCTATTCCTCAATCAAGAATCACCTCATTAATGAAAATAGATGATTTAACAAAAAGAATAGAAATTATTGAAGAGCGAATAAATCAAATTATTGATTTCATAAATCATGACTCGTTGAGCCCGGGTCCTTAAAGCCCATCACTGAGTTCAAGGTTATATTCATCAAATATTTCATTATTAAATGCAACTTCTGCTAGTTTATTTATTTTTTCAATACGATCATTTGAAAGTCTATCGTTTAATTTTTTCTGAAGTTTTTCATTTTCTAGTTCTGAAACTTTATTTGGATGATATGTAAATTCATGAAATTCTTTGGCCTCGGTTTTGATCATTAATTTACAAAGAACTTTTGTGGTTGGAATTCGTTTGAACCATTTATTAGTTATATTCGTTATATATTCAATATCTGGAATTAATTCCCAAATTTTTGCATTTTCAATTAATTTATTATCAAATGCAAAAGCAATGGGTTTAATATTATGTTTACCTTTATAATATAAACTTTCTACATAATCATCGAAATAAACATCTACTTGTTTAACATTTTCAAGAATTGGTGAAAGAGCATCCATTAATTGATTGACGGTTACGAATCTTGATCCACTCATTTTCTTACGAATTAAAAAAATAAATTATTCAAAAATGTCAGAAGAAAATATTTAAATAAATTATTTAAATTTTTTTACTCTATTCAAGAATTTTATTTTTGATATAACTCATTGAATTCAAAATTTTTTAAAAATTGACACCATATATAACCAGTAGAAATTCTGCCAGTAGAAGTTCTACCAGTAGAAACTTTACTAGTAGAAGTTCTGCCAGTATAAACTCTGCCAGTAGAAGTTCTGCCAGTAGAAGTTCTGCCAGTAGAAGTTCTGCCAGTATAAACTCTACCAGTAGAAGTTCTGCCAGTAGAAGTTCTGCCAGTATAAACTCTACCAGTAGAAGTTCTGCTAAAGTGTTCAATTTTGAGGGAAACAGTAGAAGTTCTGCCAGTATAAACTCTACCAGTAGAAGTTCTGCTAAAGTATTCATAAACACCTTTTTATATCTTATTTACATCTAACATGCACCAATTTATTTTATAACTTTATTAATACTAAATTTTATTTCATACAAAAAGTAAAAATTCATAAGTTATATATTAATTTAATAAATTATATTATCATTTATAATAAAATTTTTCGAAATGCAGATAAATTTTAACATGTTCGAAATGAAACTATTATAAAATATATTCTTTTTATTAATGGTAATATAGGAATTGTAGGAATAAAAACTTTTTATAAATTATTCATAAATTTTTAAAATCGGTTTCATACAAAATAAAAATAAATTATTCAGAAATGTAAGACATGAATTTTTAAAGTTTATTTTTTTTATTTCATTATGTATGGGCTGAGTGTAAATGTCTTACAATTTTGAAAATTTTTTAAATCTTGATTTATTCAAAAACGTAAGAATAAAAACCGTAAGAATCATACATTTTTTACTTCATATGTTAAAAAAATGATACAAAATCGCTCGATATTGTATGAATTCTTACGTTTACAAAAAAAGTCACACAACCCGTCAACATATACTACTTTCCTCAAACCAGGCAAATAAGATTGTTAGCGAAAATTTGACATCAATTTGATCAAGACCTTGTAATTTTTAATCAAAAATCGGAATTTTCTTTTTTTTTCTTTCAATCCTATCGTAGTCAAATTTTTGAAATAACATCATTTTTCTAGATGTCTGAAGAAGAAAAGCTTATTAACATGTTTCCATCAGCACCCAGAGATAAAGTAGTCAATCTTCTCCATAGAAAAGGTTTCGAAAAAGCAAAAAAACAACTTGAAACAGAATATAAATTAGTAAAACCTCTAACACCAGAAGAACAATTCGAAGCACTTTGCACGAAATTCCCAAACATATCAAGAATACATATCGAAGAAATATATAAAGAAAATATGCAAGGTATACAAGAGACAGAAAAACAATTAAATGAAGAAATTAAGAAGAAAAAGCAGCAAGATAAAACTCCTGATGTAGAAACTCACAGATATAAATACGATTTTCATGCTCAATCAAAAGCTCAAGCAGTAGAAGAATTCAATCGATTCTTACAGTGTGCTATAGAACAGAACTTACCATATGATACAGAATATGAACTTATTGTCGGAAAAGGCCTACATTCGATAAATAATTTTCCAGTAATTAAAACTACAATTCTAGAACTTTGCGAAACTCGAGGCATCAAAGCTGAAGTGGTGAAAGAAAACACCGGTGTTGTTCGCGTATGGCCTTTCCAAAAAAGTCACAATTAAATATAAATTAGAATTATAATTTCTTCAACAATATACGCCTTTATGAATAAATATAAAAAAATATAAAACCAAAAATAATTGTTATAATTTAAATGAAGAAGTAATTTAAAACGATTTTATTTATGATCAAATTTTATATATTTTTTTGGATCAAATCCATTTTAATAGAATTTATATATACTATTCATCTATTAGTAAACACTACCGTATATTATTTTTTAAGCTATCTTATTTTTTGAAATTTTATTCAAATCTTTGGTCGCAAGAAGAATTGCATGATAAATAAAAACATTTAATCAAAGTCAATTTTATTTTTCATATTCAAATGGACTGAGTGTTAACATTTAACATTTTTTGCTAATTGTCGTCAAAAATTAGGCGTAAAGCAAAAATTGATATTTCATATGGTTTTATGATAGATAAGCATTATATTCCCACTCATTATATTCGTAAATTTTGAGGTTTATCCTTCGCTTTTAAGATCATTGAATTTGATTTTTATATAAAATAGTTATATATTAGAAAATAATATGAGTTTATGTGATATTATTTTTCAGAAGATTTTGTGTTCTTCTTCAAAATTTTATTTTTTTATTAAAAAGAATCTTTACAAAATATACATTTACTTTAATTAATATTTAAAAACGTGCTCTATCAAAAGTTCCAAAAATTCAATATTTTAGCTTTTCTGAGGTGTCACTTTTGATGAATTTCTGTTTACAACAAATCAATTATTTGATTCATTCTTTCTTCAATCTCTTCTATTCTTTTTGTTAAATCATCTATTTTCATTAATGAGGTGATTCTTGATTGAGGAATAGATTTCAAACTAACCACTCCTTTTATTTATGAAATTTTGAATCCATCAACTTTAAACATTTTATTCAATTTACATGTTGTCAATTCTTCAAATAATTTTTTATTATTAGCATAATAGTCATTAAATTCTTCAACAGATGAAAAAATTTTTATTTCAGTAATTGGTTTAACAACGTTTATTTTTTGTTGAACATTTTCACTTTCATTTATTTCTTCCTCCTCTGTTTCATTTATTTTTAACATCGGTTTCATTTATCATTAAATAAAAATTAGAATATAAGTGATGAAATATATTTTTTAATTAATATTAAATCAGAAATGGCGGCAGGATTCTTTAAAAAATTATGGGATGGAATTAAGAAAGCTGCAGGTTGGGTTCATCAAAAGGTTATTAAACCTGTTGCAAACTTTTTGGCACCAGTAGCGAAAACGGCAGGAACTATCATAGGTGGAGTATTAGGTGCTAAAGCAGGTAATCCGGCGATGGGAGCACAAGCAGGTAACGCAGTTGGTGGAATAGCTGAAGGAATACTTAATAAAATAGGAGGTAGATAGTGGAAAAATAAATAAATATTATTTTTATCTTAGTATCGGTTGTAGTCTTTGATAAACTTTTTCTCCTTTATTTAATATTTCTCTTATTGGGGCAGCTTTTGGCGTTATTGATTCAGCAACGTCACTAATTGCTTCTTTATTCTTAAATATCCAATTTGCTCCCTTCTTCAATGTTTCCCAAACTTTACTCGCTCCTCTTTTTACTTTATCCCACAGTTTCTTAAATATACCTGCAGCCATAGTTGATTATTTCATTAAAATTAAAAATTCATTTTCATCTTTTAATTTTGATTTTTTATTTATTAATAAATGACGACTAACTATTTGGTGCCAAACACTAAACCGATTAATGGAAATGTGTTTCATTCATTCGAAAAGATAAATGAAATATTCGCAAAGAATGACGGTAGAAGATATTATAGAGAACTTGAAAGTTCATGCTATGACTCTGATGCTCCATATTTTGATGATAAACAAACTCATTTAAGAATTACAAATCCGGCTCATGATGTGAACCAATTAGGTGACACATATATTAAACGCAAAGTTAAAGCAACTCTAGTTTCAAATAAAGCTTTCACATGTGATGCCGCTTTTAAATGCATGCGTTTATTCGTTGGTTACAAATCATCAAATCAAAGCTTTAAACAATTAGAAGTAGAAACCGAAAGAGGTGATGCCGGTTATCTTCAGATGGATTGCGCCCGTGAATCTTTCGCATTTGCAACATATAAACCAAAATCAGAAAGGAAAGTTAAAAAGTTTGTTCATTCGTTATATAATAATGTTCAAAAATATGATAACTCAGTATGTGGTAAATATATTGACCCTTCAGAAGTTTTCAAGAAGCAAATGAAGAAGTTGATATCACTTTTGATATGATTATTCCGGTAAATGATTTGTTAGCATTTCAGGCGTTCGATGATTATCCTAAATCATTTGGTGATATCATTCTTAAATATTATGTTTTCAGGGATACTTTAGTATTTTGTCAGGTTGACCCGTTAAGAGTTGCTGATTTACAAAATTACGTTTATGAAAAGATAACTGATGAAAATTATGAAAAGATTATGAATCATGTTTATAAATATGATCGCAAATTCCAACAAATCGGACTTCCTGCCAAATTAATTACAAGCTTAGCCGCTACATCTGCTGACGCAACAGTTGATGACGTTATTATTTCATGCACAAAGATGGAAGTTTTAGAGGATAAATGCATTACACCAGGATACGGTTTAATTGAAGAATCAGTTAAAGCAATACCACGTTTATTCAGTAAGGAAGATCCATTCATGATTCCAGCTCAACATATTGACGTTCGTTCACTAAATGGAGGTTGCATCACTCCTGAAGGTATTAGCTCAGATTTCTCATACGCTCTTCATAATGTTACAGATGTTGTGTTAACATTTCCGAAGAATGCAATGCAAAGAACAGTTTTAGAAAATCCAATGCTTCGAGGTCTTCAGGTCACTATAGATTCCAGAAACTTCCCCGATCAAGCGATGACCACAGTGGGACATATTCTTTACACGTATGCTTCAAGCTTCTGATTTAGATGGAGTGAATGAATGCACGAAGAATACGAGGACTCATTAACTAGACCACTGAATGATGATGATGGCACGCCATTAGCTAGAACATGGAAAGACCAAACTTCATTCTTATGCACTATTCCAGTTCAACGTGATGGAGCGGGTATATTCTTTGATGGATTAGAAACTTTCAACTCACAAGTTACAGTACAAGTGAAAGCTTATCCAATCATTCAGGGTGAAAATGACACTTACTGTTCAAAGGTGACAAATCCTCCTCAGGTTTGGTTTACTAGGACTACATATTGGACATGGACACCGGATGAAGGTTTGAAATATCATCCAACAGGTACACCACCACAGTATAGAAGTTCATATGATGAAATATTGATGAATAGAAATGTTTAAAATTATAAATTTATTTTTGATTAAATGGATTTAAATTCATCCACCCCTTATGAAGAATTAGCAGGAGTATATAATACATACGTAGATGATATGATTAATGAAGCATTGAGTGATAATAGAAATGCTCTATCTAAGGAAAAATTAATGAAAATTCCATATTCTGAATGTTACTTAAATTCAATCACTGCAGCAATTGGTAAACAAAATAAAGGTAAAACATTAACGATATTAAAACAAATTATCATTATTGCTAACACTTCCCCCATTCACATGTGTTAATTTATATCAACCGTTCAGGTTCACCTTCAGATGATACATTTGAATCTTTAAAGCATTTAATCAAAATTCCAATTATTTATTTATCACAAGAAGAAGCAGAAGATTATTTAAAAAACTTTTTAATGTATAAAGAATTATATAATACAATCAAGAAGCAAGGATTAGAGGATAAAATTATTGATAAACAACGGGATGAATTATTTGAAACACTTTCTATTTCAAATTTTGATAGAGAATTTTTGCATTCACTCATTTTTCTAGATGATGCAGTGAAATCAAAACTAATAACAAATGAGAAATCATATTTTAATCAGTTATTAACTCAATGTCGACACATTCAGTGTTCATTCTTTATGGCTGTTCAATACTTCAAAGCATTAAGCACAAACATTAAATCAAATCTATCAACCCTTTTCATTTTCAGTGGGTTTAGTCGTCAACAGTTGAACGTTATGCTTTATCAAGTGAATTTACCAATGAGCATTAATGAACTTTACACACAATATCAGCAATTAGGTGAACATGGAAAAATAATAGTTGATTTAAATAAAGGAGTGTTAAATTTGATTAACTTTTTATAATTAATTTTTATTTTTTATTTATAATTAAACATGACAGAAATAGCAAATCTTCTACAGGTTCCATTAAAACAAGGGACAAACAAAAGGGTGCATATAATAGAACTATGAAAGTTCCTGATGGAATGAAAGAATTAGTTCATATTGTTGCTGGTCTTCAAAAAGATGTTAAACAAATGAGAAACGTTTTAACATTACCAGAAGCTCAAGCATATGCCAAACGTCATGGTCCAAATTGGGAAGCACACGAAGCAGACATTACGGGTCCAAATGGAAAACCTGATGGTATAAATGAAGTTTTCGTTACTGATGGTCAAGGTAATATTAAAGTCATAAATGGTTATAAATTAACATACTGATTATCCTAAACGTAAAGCATATAATGAACGTTATCCTATGCAATTTGATGAAAATGGAAAAGCTGTTAAACAATACATTGGAGAAGGTGAAAATGGTCCAATTAATTCATACCGTCATAATCCATATTCTTATTTCAATGAAGAATTAAATGCTATTGAAGAGGGACCGGATGGATTACCACGATATTCTAACCAGTTTGATGGTCAATATGCAAATATTAGACCTGAAATTTCAGCTAAGAAATTCTTTAAAGTTGCTTTATTCGATCCAGTTTTCGCAAATGTTAAAGATGAACTTAAACAGCAATTCCAACCAATTATAGTAGCAAGAATTGCATCAGGTGCTTTATCTCAAGCATTCAAAGATTTAATTAAGAAACCATTATATCAGCAACGAGGTTTAACTTATGATTTAGTTAAGGAATCAGATAAAAGAAAATTTGAGAAATCAGATGATTATAAGAATGCAATTAATGAATATATTCGGTCTATTAATTTCGATGAAAAGCTAAAAATCAACTTCATGAACAAATACAGGGAATAATAGATTCAAAAGTTCCAGCAAAATAAAAGTTTAAATATATTTTTTTATTCGAATATAAATGAGAAGACGTTTCACTAGTCAAAAGAACACTAACGCAAAAGCAGAGATTACGGTTGGTTATAACGTAAATGATGATAAATCACGAATTATTCAAAATGTTAAAGTTAATGTTAGCCCTGAATTAACAAGGTCAGCAACTCAACCAAATTTATTAACTCGTGACTTACCGAAAAAGGAGGAGGAGAAAAAAGAAGATGGAGACCCAATCATTTTATCTGAACCTGGTAAAGAACCTGTTGAAATTCCCACTTATCCAACATACCCCACCTCTTTCATCAAACATCGAGAACCCATATAAAATAGACATTAATTCTGAATTAATGAAAATTTACCGTGATATAATAATTAATAATTATGATTCAATAATAAATTTAATTGACCAATCCGGTTTAATTATTTTACCTTATGAATCATTAATTCACATTATCGCCATTCTTTGTGATGTTCAAGATTCAGACGTTAAGATTCAATTTTTCATAGATGATGAGGTTTCATGCTGCGGAACAGTTGCAAAAATAAATCCTATAAAGGATATTAGCACAATTAAGATATCAAAGAACGGAACAACAACTGAACTTCATTTAACATATAATGATATTTATAATAAAATAGTTGATGAATATAAAATATCACTTGAAAAATTCTTTGTTAAGGCTATTTAATATTCAAGCATTAACATTATCGAATAATAATCCTTTGAATCATAATCAATAATAATTGACCTTTCACCAGTTTCTATCGTTTGTTTTATTTCTTTTTGTTCCCCACTATCCGGATCGGTCATTGTAATTGTTTTTGTTATAGTATCAGCTTTATCTTTAACTTCAATCTTTTTTCCATCGGGATATTTAAACCAAAATTCCAAAAATTCGATATTGTCAATCTGTTCATATTTTAATCTATCAATTACATTTTTAATACCATCTGAAAATCTTATGAAATGGTCATTATATGGGTTTGATTGAACTAAATTTGAATGAAGTGAAATATAACCTGTTGATGAATATGACATTGACTCATATTTTCTGAAAACACTAAAATTTATAACATGAATGAATTTCTTATTCGTTGAATTTATGAATTCTTGAGGTAATCTTATTCTAGTTTTATTTATCACTGGAAAATAACGCTTTACCATATTTTTAATCGTAATAAAAAATGTCAATTATCAATATTATTTCGAATAATAACTGTGAATTAAATTTAACAGTTAGCGGAATTTATAATGTTACTCTCGTTTCTGTGAGTGGTAAATTTAATCCCATTCTTTTAGACCCTTCAGATTATATATCATTTATTAAAGATGACCTTGAAAAAACGTATGATATGTATATAAATAATGTGATAGCGAAATGGGATATTAACATGATTTTAAGTTATTTAAATGAATCATTTATCGTATGGTATGAAGAAAATTTTAAATCAAAACCTGATAAACTTTTTGAACTTGATGAAATAAATAACCTTATTAAATTTCCGCTGAAAATTAAATTTTGTACTCCTCATCTTCGTTCATTGTTGGGGATATTAAATTTTGAAAAAGATGTTGGGGATGTTTTGTATTCTGACACTGGTTCCAATTTCATTTTAATCAAATGTGATAAAGTTAATACCCCAATGAGATTTTCACATCAAACATTAGACCCTAACTCTTACCCATCAATACAAAACATTTTATCCATCAACTTAAACACATTTTCTTTATCATATCCGTTTCAATTATCCGGGAATTCATTTATTCTTCATTCAAAAGATTTATCAAATATTAAATTTAGAATAACTGACCTATTTGATTGTGATTTAGAATTTATGAATGAAATATTATGGCAATTTCAAATAGAGAAAATAGCTGATGAGATAACGGATTAAATATTTATTTTTAAATCGTAATAAATGATTAAACAACAGCAACCACAGCAACTTAAGGCACAAAGCGCCCAGGTCCTTCAGACCATTACATACGCCATATATGCATATAATTCAAAGACGGCAGAACAAACGCAAAGGTTGAAATATGGAGATTTGGAGATAGTATTGAAAAATGACCATTTCGAATTCGTTTGCAAAGGTGGTGCAGTGATATCAAATATAAAAGAAATTTTATTTATGAATTCAAAAATTAAAGGAATAACGGATGATATAACATCAATTCCACCAGAAGAACAAAGATATTACGCATTAAATGCATTTCCTAAAGTTTTGAAGATTGGAAGATTTAATTTAAATGAGGAATTCATAAAAGGTTTCCTAAATGACATAATGAAGAAGGCGGATAAAACATATGTTAACGATGAGTTAAATAAGAAGGTAAATTTGGTTTATGTTGATGAAAAAGATAATGAAATTAAAGAAAAGGTTGAATGGAATCATGAATGGACATTGGAGACTTTTAAAAATAAAGCTGATACAAAATGGGTTTCGGGATGTTTAGACCTTAAAGCGGATAAAACATATGTTAACGATGAGTTAAATAAGAAGGCAAATTTGGTTTATGTTGATGAAAAAGATAATGAAATTAAAGAAAAGGTTGAATGGAATCATGAATGGACATTGGAGACTTTTAAAAATAAAGCTGATACAAAATGGGTTTCGGGATGTTTAGACCTTAAAGCGGATAAAACATATGTTAACGATGAGTTAAATAAGAAGGCAGATAAAACAGATGTTAACGAAATATACCAAAGTTTGATAGGAACAACAAAAAATATTGAAACTATTGTTGGTGACTTTTCTGTCCGTGAAGAAAATAAATATTTTAGATGGCAGTTTGTACACTCCTTAAAAAATGGTACACGGTGTAAACTCATTCCGAAAAATAACAATGAAATGTATGTAAGCTATAAAAAGAATGATGGTACACAAGTTAAAGTTCCATTAGACAACAACTGCTACTTAAACTTATATGGAGACGAACAAAAGAAATATTTAAGAGTTTATGAAATGGTAGATATGACATTACCTGACCCAGCTCCAGCACCATATTATTATGACTATGGAGATGACGACAGAACACCACATGTAGATGAACAAAAGCTAACATTATATTTAGATTATTATAGATATAAAAGATATAATGCAATAGAAAAAACGAGAATAGTATATTATTATACAGATGACAGAAATAAATATTATAGTCAAGATTTTACCTACCCTGAAAACATAAGATTATATTATAAAAAATATTCTGACACAAACCAGAAGAAACCTGAAATAGTTGCACTATATTTTAAGTTCAAAAGAGACAATCCTATATTATCTCATATGTTTGATTTAATGAACCCAGTAGGTTCTATTTATACATCTATGGATGCAAGAGGTCCTCAAGCGATGTTTGGTGTTGGTGCATGGGAACAAATAGTCGACAAGTTTTTGTATTGTGCAAACTCTTCAAAGGAAACAGGTGGAAGTAAAACGATTTCAGGTGAAAATTTACCTGCACACAGTCACTACATAGATTTAAGTACATCTCAAGCAGGTTGGCATAAGCATAGATATTGGGATTGGTCAGGAATGACAAAAGGTAAAGGATATGATGTTAAAGACGACGTTAAGTTTGCTATAAATTGTTACTGGAGTGACACTCAGGGAGAAGGAAACCATACACATTTCGTTTCAGGATATACACAAACAACGGGACAAAGTAAAGAATACATGCCACCTTACATGACAGTTTACGCATGGTATAGAGTTCAATGAACGCTCAATGTTTGTGAAACAAACTTTAGCGAATCCATTCAAATTATTAACTAAAGATGAACTTAATAAAATTTACACCAAAAATAAATTAAATCGTTAATGTTTTCAGGTTATTCAATTATGAATTATTTTTGAAGAACTGAAGGTGTCACTATGTCACCATGTGTCACCAGGTTATTTAACTTCTCTGAAAAATGATGACAACATGACATTTTGACAACATCACTGGAAATATGATGCAGTCCAAAAATAAAGTTAGTTTTAAAATTATTTTTATTTATTTTTTTATTTTGTATGTAAGAACAGAAATGTCAGTCGAAGCACAGACGTTCACGAACAAATCTAATGGCGAAACATTCACAAAAGGCACTTATAATGATATTGAAGTCTTATGTAGAGACAAGGATGGTTACATTAATGCAACAAAGATGTGTCAACAGTTTAGGAAAGACTTTAGAAAGTTGTTGGAAAATAAGTCCTGGGAAGAGTATTATAAGGCATTTTGTGAAGAATATAGCAACCGCCGGAATTCCGACGGTTGCTTTTTATACAAAATTCATGCAGGAATTCCTGATGAAATCAAACAGGTTAGAGGAACGTATGTAGACCCAAGACTTATAAACTATATAGCAATGTGGGCTTCTCCAAAATATTGCATAGCAGTTGGAAAAATTATGGACTCCATAGACAAGAAAGTTCATGAGAAGTTAGATGAAGAAGAACTCGAAGATACAGTAGAGAATGCAAAACATTTGTTTGAAGAAGAAGTTGGAAAAATGTGTGAAAAACAATTAGAACATGAACGTGAGATGTGTTATGGTTATAGAGATTCTCCATACGAACTAGACCAATGGGAACAAGAAGATTTAAAGAGAGAATTTAGAGAATATGAACTCGCTAAGATAGCATTTGAAGCTGCAGAAAAGATGTTAAAAGTTTGGGGTCGTTTTGTACAAAAATATTGTGAGTAAATGAACCATTTAGTTTTGTCATAAACGACCAAAAATAAATTAAATCGTTAATGTTTTCAGGTTATTCAATTATGAATTATTTTTGAAGAACTGAAGGTGTCACTATGCCACCATGTGTCACCAGGTTATTTAACTTCTCTGAAAAATGATGACAACATGACATTTTGACAACATCACTGGAAATATGATGCAGTCCAAAATAAAGTTAGTTTTAAAATTATTTATTTTTTTTATTCCTATATAAATGACACAACAAACGACAACAGCAACTATATCGTTTCTGATGAAAAAGTTATTGATTCATTAGTTGAGGAATTAGTTGTGGCAGAAACTAAAACCCTCAACGAAAGAATTGGTGAAAACATGATTGATTTACATAACTACCTCAAACATGATGGAGGAAGAGGAAGGAAAACCGGTATGGCTTTATTAGTAAATAAAATATCAAATTTAACGATTATAGATGTTGATATCAATAAATCGTACAATGATGAACTTAAAGAAACAGTTAGAAAAGACATTTTATCAAAACTTTCGGATAAAGATGTTATCGTTAAAACCGCTTCTGGAGGTCTTCACATTTATTGCAACACTAATTTCTTCTATGCAGTTTCGAACAGAATGATTAAATGCTATTCCTGCAATGATTATGATATTGATATCATGACTTCTATAGATGATTCAAAGCGTTCTTTAGTAGTTATGGCTGATTCAAGAGTTCGCAAGAATGCAACAGAACCAATCAATACATACTCATTCATTCGTGGAAGTTATGACTCAACATTAACCAGAACAGTGAATGATATATTAAATGATTTGAATATTAAGGTAAGAGTTGAACAGAAGAACGAAGAAATAAAGAGTATAATAAATGAAAACAAAGATGTAAACATTGACGATAAACTTGCCCAGAGCTTAGTTGATGGCATCTGTGATTTTGAAGTACATAATGACGGTGGAAACATGAATTTAGAAAAAGAAATAACATTATTCACACTGTTTCAAGCAATTAATTCGTTACCTAATCATTTAATTAATGAAGCATACGATAACGTTTATAACTTCTGCAGTTTAACAGAAAATGCAAAAAGTAATTTTGATAAAGCACGTAATAGATATGCACATTTAATGACTTCTCCATTTGTTTTGGTGAAGATTCTAAAACTATATCAAAAGGAATATTATGATGAATATGTTTTGCCTTTATTACGTAAGCCAAAAATAACATTTGACATCAAACTTGATGACTCGTTTTTGATAACAGATATTAGACGCAAGGCTGAAAATCATCAGTATAAAAACAGTTCTGGTGTAATTGAGGATTTATCACGTGTAATCCGTTTTGTAGATTGTGGAAACAAATACTTCATTCAAAAGGACTATAATATCCACGACAAAATGAATCAAATATCATTCGTTCTTCAATCAAACATGAAAGAGTCACTCAAAATGATTAAATTATTTAATGAAGAAGGTAAAACCATAACAGCATGGGATGTACTACTAAATCAATTGTCTTCATTAACCGTTAAGGGTGTTTGCTTTAAATCTGATTCCCCTGATGTTTTCTCAACGTTTCAAGGTTATAAATACAACGTTCTCGAAAAGCTTGATTACTCAAAAATTGAGATGTTTATGGATTTCATTAAAGAAGCCATTTGTGATAATAACGATGAAGTGTATAAATACCTTCTCGGCTGGATTGCATCAATGATTCAACATCCTGGAATCAAGAATGAAACAGCAATTATTTTGAAAGGACTTCAGGGAACAGGTAAAAACAGATTTACAGACATTATTTCTGAACTTCTCGCTGGTTATTCATGCAAAAACATTACTGAAATAGGTGAGCTAACGGGTAATTTCAATTCAGTAGTTGAGAATAAAATGTTTCTTGTACTTAATGAACTCAAGAATGTAGGTGAAGATAGACTCGCAAACTTCAACGCTTTGAAATCAATTATAACGGATAATGAGATTAGAATTAATGAAAAGAATCAACCCAGAAGAACAGCACAAAACGTTGCTAATTTCATTTTCGTAACTAATCACGTTTGCCCTGTCAAAATTGAAGTTGGAGACAGAAGATACGTAGTTTTAAGAGTTAATGGTAAATTTAAGGGTCAATTTGATTACTTCAAGAATTTGATGAATTCATGCACAAAGGAATTTTATGATAATTTACTGACGTATTTTATGCAATATGACCTTTCATCATTTAATGTACGAATCATACCGATGACTGAAGCCAAACAAGATTTAATAGAATTATCAACAAATCCTTTAGATGTATGGATAAATACACATTATGATGAATTGTGTGCAGGTATGACGTGTAAAAATGTTCTATTCTGCAAACCACCAGACATGAAAGACAAGAATTTCCAAATGAGTATTAAAGATAAATGTGAAAGGAAACAGAGAAGAATAGATGGTAAACAGATGTGATGTTATGTTTTGAAAGAAGAAATGAAAGGATTATATAAACAGGTTGAACCAAACGATAATGAGGATTCATTTACTGACGATGAAATACCTGTAAATGAAGCTTTATAAAGTATGATTTGAATTTATTTTTGCATTCAACTCCTACAGTGTTGTCAAAATGTCATGTTGTCATCATTTTTCAGAGAAGTTAAATAACCTGGTGACACATGGTGACATAGTGACACCTTCAGTTCTTCAAAAATAATTCATAACTGCTTTCCTCATTCAACTCCTACAGTGTTGTCAAAATGTCATGTTGTCATCATTTTTCAGAGAAGTTAAATAACCTGGTGACACATGGTGACATAGTGACACCTTCAGTTCTTCAAAAATAATTCATAACTGCTTTCCTCATTCAACTCCTACAGTGTTGTCAAAATGTCATGTTGTCATCATTTTTCAGAGAAGTTAAATAACCTGGTGACACATGGTGACATAGTGACACCTTCAGTTCTTCAAAAATAATTCATAACTGCTTTCCTCATTCAACTCCTACAGTGTTGTCAAAATGTCATGTTGTCATCATTTTTCAGAGAAGTTAAATAACCTGGTGACACATGGTGACATAGTGACACCTTCAGTTCTTCAAAAATAATTCATAACTGCTTTCCTCATTCAACTCCTACAGTGTTGTCAAAATGTCATGTTGTCATCATTTTTCAGAGAAGTTAAATAACCTGGTGACACATGGTGACATAGTGACACCTTCAGTTCTTCAAAAATAATTCATAACTGCTTTCCTCATTCAACTCCTACAGTGTTGTCAAAATGTCATGTTGTCATCATTTTTCAGAGAAGTTAAATAACCTGGTGACACATGGTGACATAGTGACACCTTCAGTTCTTCAAAAATAATTCATAATTGAATAATCTGAAAACATTAACGAAATCATAACTAATAACAAAATTTAATTTTTATATAAATGAATACCCCACAAGCTCAAAATTTACCACGAATCATAACAAGGGAGGAAATGATAAAAATGATGCAAGAACAAATTAAAAACAACAAACCACGAAAACTGAGAAGATGAGGAATAAAAATTAAATTTGGATTGAGTTTAAAAATTCATCTTGATTAAATTCATCTCTTCCAATCAATTTATTTATTCTATTAAATTCTTTTATTTTTGCTTCACTCAGTTTAAGGATTGAACGGTAAGTTTCTAATTTTTCGATTATTTCTTTCCTCTCTTTATCGTTTTCAGCCCCACCACATTGCGGCTTCTTTTTGTAATAGCATATTTTTGATTTAATTTTGTTTAGTTTCTTTTTATATTCATCATCTAGACTCTTGGCTGCTTCGTTGTCACTCATTTCTTACGAAATAAAAAAAATTAAATATTATTTAAATATAATGGAGTAATAAAATAAATCGGAATTTCTATTAATTTATTGTCAACTTCAACTAATACATTACCGTTAATGTATCTAACAAATTCAGCTATTGTGTCAAATCTTCGTCTTCTTTTTGTCATTGATTTATCAGTTTTTCCATAATCGAGATGAATCAAAACTTTATCTCCTTGTTTAAAATTCATGAGCCCCGAATTAATTTGTTCATGTTTAACATCATTTAACCTTTCCATTTGCTTTCTAATATATTCCCATTCTTTTGAAATATCATTTTTCATTTCCACTGGTTTCATGTTTATAGTTCTATGCCATGTATTATTGTAATAATATACTAACTGCTGTATGATGGAGTCATGATTTCCATCCCAGTATATCTGACCGTTAACCCCTAACGCATCTCTAAGAGTTCTCATTACCGCATCAACTATTTTATTATGAAACGTATATGGAGAGGATGAAAAGTAAAAATTAATTTGTGGGAAATAATGAGCCATAGCTGCCTGAAATCCTTTATCACCATCACCCCTTATATTATCTACTCTTTCATGATCTAGTAAGTATTGAATAGCTCTTCTTGTTTCCTGTTCTGTTTTCCCTTTCACCGGAATGCAATATAAATATCTGGTGTTAATGTTAATGGCAAATAAATAAGTAACGTTTCCTTTTGAATATTCTAAATGATCGATTTCGTATGAATATGGATATGGTGCAAATGAAGGGCGACCAAATTTTTCCTTTAACGGTTGAATTTTTGGGTCAGTTGGTTTATTTAATATTTTGAAATCCTTTTTAAAATCTTTTTGCTTCTTTAATGTTTGAAATGGATATAATAAAGTGAATGATGAAGGATTAACTGAAGGAGGAGGAGGTACTACCGTTGGAGGTTTTGGTGTTGCAAGTGGTTTAATTTTATCTGCTTTGATTTTGGATTTCATTCCTCCTTTCATTAATTCTGGATGTATTCTATTCATTTGTTTTAAATATACTGTATATAAAGGTTTGATATACTTTCCCGCTTCGAGTTTATGTTGAAGGATGAATTCCAAAAGTTGATCTTCATTTAAAAGTCGGGCTGAACATGGTTTAACTAATGAATCATAAATTAAAGCTTGTGCATCATTTATGGTTTGAAGGACCTGGGCGTTTTGCGGCTCAGGATTATATAAATTATATAATTCATCAATATCTTCTTCTGTTAATACTTTATTTTTGAAATCTTTCATTTGTTTAAGTTGTGATTTAGTTTTTCCCTTTGCATATTCATTATTTTTAATTTTGTCTTTAATTTTAGAAATTATTTTATCATGATATTTCAAAATTCTATTTTTATAATACGGATAATAATATTCCATATCATCACCCGTTATATTTTCATCATATTTTTGGAGATATGCTTTTAAATCATAATAATCAAGAAAATTTTGATTAAATACTAAATCATCAATTAAAATTTTTAAATCTACATTATTCATTTATATAAAAATAAAATAAATGTTTTAGGGGTGCCCACCTCTTTGAATCATAGTATCAAAACCATCATTAACGGTTCCTTTTGTCTCTTCTGTGGTATTTCATTAAAAATACATTTTTAAATTGTATTAAATAAATGGCATACAACATCCATTTTCACAACATACAGCCTTAGTGTGTGCTCCTGTTAATGCAGTCTTACCAATTGTTAAGCGAGTCACAGACCTGTTTTTAAGTTGTAAATTAATATTCTGACCATCAAATATCACTTTATCATTTATTATATCCAAATAATTTTTAGGTGTTAATTGTTTATTTTGTCGTAAACTAACACCTTTCATTTTTTGTGCAATCTTTTTAAAATCACTTCCATCAATTGAACCGTTGAATGATGTATAACATTTAGGGCATAAAGCAACCATGTTATCACCTTGTTTCTCAATTGCTAAACCCAATAACTTCTTCTCATGTGCTTTTTCTTCAGCTTTATTCTTTAATTTAGGTTTAAATTTCTCATCAAAACAGAAGAAATCAAATGGTGCGAATTTGAAAATGTTTTTATCATAAAATTGTTTATCAGTAACAATTGCTTGAAATGCTTGAGTGTTAGGAAGATTTGGATCACCAGCGATTGCCCAATAAGATGAATCAGTATCACCTTCAATGAAATGAAAACGATTAACATTCATGCATTTATACATAAAATCATAAATGAAAACCAAATACCAGTATTTAGCATTATCTAAAGTGAAGAATGCCTCTTGTAAACATGTTTCACATCTATAAAATCTATCTTTGAGCATCATTTGATATGTATCTTCACCTATTTCTCTTATGTTTTTAAACTTATTTGACATACATGCAACGCGTGCCTTCTGTGCATTCATTATTTTAGTCTTTGCGTAATTTTGTGTATTCATTGCATCGTAACCATATGATCCATTAAGTGAAATCTTGCAAAATAAACTTTTTCCTTTATTTCCTTCTAATTCAGCCTTTTGTCTTTCGTTCATAAATTCGTTCGCAAATTCATTAAAACAAGTGTTTTTAGTAAATGTTAAAATTGATTGAATATCATCGATGATAAAATGAAATCTGTCGATTAGATACCAAAGATAATAAGAAGAAAATGGTTGATATTGGTTGTGTGTTGATGCTAACTGAGTTAATTTTCTCTGTTTCTGGTCAACTGGTAAATTGTTTGATTTCATGTAATTATACATAAAACTGCCAATTGTTTTTTCATCTGTGATAATATCTAAGTTTCTTATTATCGGTAAAAAGTTTATGTAATCATTAATGTATTTTTCATCAATGTGACCCTTTACTTCAGCCACAAATAAAGTATTTTTCTTTCTAATTATTCCTAATGCTTTTGCTTTCTTTGTTGCTGTATCACAAATGATAACACCATTCAATCTTCCCGGCATATACATTTTATGGTCAGTATATTGAATGAAATCATGAGGATTAGATGAAAATGATGAAGGATATAATGAATTAAAATCAACACCAACGAAATGAGTCATAATGTTGGTGGTGTCCTCATTTGATACAGTTTTAGTTTCTGGATTATATGAAAGTTTATTAATGTGTGTGATTCCTTTAAGATTTACTCTATGTTGAACATTTGATAAACCACCAGTAATTCCATTACGGAGAATGTGATAAGCTTCAACTGAATCTAAAGTCATTGGTAAATTATTTTTTAATGCATAATTTCTTAAATTGATTCTTAAACGTTGAACATCTTCATCTTTATTTGATTTCACGACATTGCAATAACAACACATTAACTGACAATTTTCTTTGGTATGTGGTTTTTCATTATCGATTCTATCCAATGTTGGTTTATTTGCATATGTAAACGCTTTACCACACATTTTGCATTTAGATGAAAGGATTAAATCCTGATAGTATTGAAAATCATCCATTGAAACATTATTTTTAGTATCCCTTTTTGCTTTTTCATCTTGTTTCTTATATGATTCAATTTTATATTTCCAATACTTTTTCGTTAATTCAAAACTTGATTCTATCTCTTCCTCAGGATATTTTTCATTAGGATTAAAGTCTTTATATGCTAAAGCGTAACGAATCATTGAAGCATTCGATGATAAAGAAAGATTATGAAGCGTGTCAATTTTATAAACAAATGTTTCTTCAATAATTTTATCAATTGGGTCAATCATAATTTCAACATCTTTATTACAATAATGAATAAAATATTCTAATCTATTCTTAAAATTTTTAGCATCATTGAGATATATTTGATAATCACTATCTGATATAGTTTCTTGAGTTAATGCTGAATAAAATGAATCTTGAGTGAATGGTTCCACTTTATATAATTCTTCTTCGTAATTCTCCCACGTGATGAATTGATAAGGGAAAAAGGATTTAACACGTGATTTATTGTTTCCGAAATCTTGAGTGAATTGGTCTAATGTCCCACCTGCTATATAATTTCTGATGTCAATAAATCTCAATTCATATGGAACGTTTGTTTTCTTTACAATGACTTGCTTAAATTGAGAAGATGAACCCAACATTGATTTTATTTTCCATTTTGCAGTGTTTAAATCATGAAGAATTAAATTTAAATCAAACTTTCCCGAATTAAAACCTATGATATTCACTTTATTGAATTCCTCATTTAGAAGTTCTTTAAATACTTCCTTCTGTTTTTCATTTAATGTATGAGACAAAGTCCCCACCGTTTGCGACTTCAATAATTCATCGTATTGACTCATATTTGATTTAGCAACTAATGAACAGGTTGAAAATAAAAACTCAATCCAGTCAGAAATAAAAGAATCACTCGAAGTTAAGCAAAAATTCCTCGTATATGTTTTATCATTTAATTTAACCGTTGATGATACCATGAATGGTTTTAAGTAAGCGTTCAAAGTTGCACACTCAGAAAGTTGCAATTCTTCTTTAGTCTCTAATGTTTCAAAGTCAAAAGTAATATAATATCTTGTCGGTTTATAATATTCCTGCAAATTGTGAGCTAATAACCACTGATATATCTTCTGTTTCGTAATATGTGGTGCATATGGTTGCTGGGTCTTTTGCAATTGAACGTCTTGAATTAATCTTCCATTATTTTCTTTACATTTCTCACAATGCTTTAAAAATCTTCTTTGGTTTTTCCTTTCTGGATCATCACGGATTGAATAAACTTCTTCTTTACAATATGGACAAACTTTATAGCCGGTGAGTGCTTCAACATCTGTTATTCTGTCAGCGTGAAGTTTTCCACATGGACTCTGTGTTAATAAAATATTTACTGTTTCAAATTCTGGATCTATCATTATTGTTTCCACTAATGGAAAGTCTACCTTATTTATGTCCACGTCTTCTGGTTGAGGATCACAATAATAGAAATCAATATTAACATTTAACATTCTCGCTAATCTCTCACTTTCTGATGAAATGTCAAACCCTTCATATGCATCTATTACTTCATTTAAATAACTTCTACGAGTTTTAGGATTAACACCATCAGGAATGTTATAGAAGCGTTTAAATAACCTTCTACCTTCTGCTCTAATTTGATTATCATTCATTTTAGCTGTTCCGTTTTTGTTCATTTATGTAAGAATAAAAAATAAATAAAAATAAACTTTATTTTTAAAGTCCATAAAATGAATTAAGAACACATAAATTTTTATCATCTGCGACGTGACGAATACATTTTAATTTACTCAAGAATGCGTACCCTGATACATTAAATCTAATTCCTGTCTTATTTAATTTCACAACTTTGAAAAGGAATGTATGAATAGCTATAAAATGATGAGAAGATGTTTTATGGGTTGCTTCCATTTTTTCTGAAATAAATGAATAAATATAATGTTTATACGTTTTTATATCTTTTATGTTCTTAATAACGAATGGTATAGACCTTTCAACTTCATCTTCCTTCGGTGCTGTTCTTTCATATGAAACATTATTGGTATCTTCAACAATGAAACCACAATCACACAAAATTTTATAGGTTCCAATGGTTTCTTTTGATATTTTATCTAATAAATCAAAAACTTTATCAACACCCGTGCATTTATTTAAATAATAATTTGTGTAAATATCATGATCTTCTTTCTTAATCGTATTAGTTGCATATGTCACGTTTTTAAGAACTTTTTTGATTTTTTCGGAATCTAAAGGTGGTGAAAGTAATATACATGGGTATTCTTCATTATCAATAAATTGTAACTTATGTTTACGAATAAATTTAATACCTTCTTCTGAAAGTGTTTCATCTATTTCACCATCTAATAAATTTTGTGTTGATTCTGAGACATAATTTTATATCTTTCTTCATGAGATTTCTGAACTTCTGATTCTGAAGCTGGGATATTCATTAAACCCTCTACTTCATTTTCATTATATTTTTCATCTTCTCTTAATTCCTTAATTTTTTCATCTATTTCATCTCTTATTTTTTCCAGTCTTTCAATTTCATTATCTTCATCATCTTTAATCCGTTCTTCATAATATTCAGGGAAAACATCAGGTTCTTTAGGTTTTTCTTTTTTTTTAGATGTGGGATATAAGAAATTTATAACATCATCTTTATTCATTTTTCCATCATAACCAAATTCATTTAAAAACTCGGCAAATTTTTTACAATTTCTTAAATAATATTTATCAACTTCATAACCCGCCTCCTCTAATATATCCTTTATTTCCTCGTTTGTGAATCCTAAATTTTTAACATTGTTAGTTTTGACGCTCATTTCATACATAATAAAAATATATGATTCAAAAAATGTAAGACATAAATTTTTAAAGTTTATTTTTTATTCATGAAAATCATTAGTTTCTAATTTCTTTTTACTCATTTATGAGGTCTTTGATTATGACTCCATTGATTCCATTCAGGATTTAAACAATGTTTAATTAATCGTTGAATATCTGACATCATCTATATATAGCTTCTTTTATTACATTATGTTTGGGCTGAGTGTAAATGTCTTACAATTTTGTATCATTTTAAATCTTGATTTATTCAAAAACGTAAGAATAAAAACCGTAAGAATCATACATTTTTTACTTCATATGTTAAAAAAAATGATACAAAATCGTTCAATATTGTATGAATTCTTACGTTTACAAAAAAAGTCACACAACCCGTCATATATACTACTATTTGAATTCTGAATTAACAATTGCTCATTTTCATGAATCATTGACTTTCCAAGTATGTTAACATGAATTTCAACTAATATCCCAATATCTTATTGGGTTGCTGAAATAGTATTGTCACTTTTTCGAGCTCTAATGTCTCAGCACAAATCGGCTAAAAAGAAAGTAGAAGGAAATGAAGATCCAGAGAAGAAACTCATGAAAAAGTGCTCATATTGCGGTCGTGATATTACCAATGAGGTTTATGTTCGATGTGCTAAATGCATTGGGTTCATTGAATGCTTAGAATGCTTTTCAGTTGGCGCTGAAACAGCATCTCATTTTCATACCCATCCATACATTATCATAGAGCCAATGCATCAAGTTGTTTATAGAAAAGGCTGGACTGCTGAAGAAGAATTCCTTTTACTCCATGGCATACAAGTATGTGGTCTTGGAAACTGGCATGAAATAGAGAATATTGTTCAAACAAAGAATGCTATCGAATGCGAAACTCACTATTTTGGAACATATTTACAGTCTCCTATAGCTCCAATGCCATTAGATGAAGTACTTCCAGAAGCAGTCCTTCCACCACCTCCTGAATATGATACAAGTCCTCGTGATTCAAGACCTTCAATTTCTCACGATAAAAATTTAGCAGATCGCGGCAAAAAGGATAGAACAACACCAGCAGAATTTGCTGGCTGGATGCCAAGAAGAAATGAATTCGAAGTGGAATACCAAAATGAAGCAGAACAGTTAATTGCAAATATTACCTTTACAGAAAATGATACAGCACAGAGTTTAGAACAGAATCTAAGATTCTTACGTGTTTACAACGAAATTCTCGAAGAAAGACATAACAGAACTCAATTTGCTATCGAATGGGACTTATTTGATGAAGATTTCCGCTCATTCGGTGGTAAAACAAAGAGCGAGCGCGAGATGGAAGAAGCTCTCATGCCATTGGCCCAAGTTGTCCCAAGAAAACCACTTACAGAATTTATTCAGTCCGTAGAACGCGAAAGTCAACTTCGTGAGAGTATCCTTACACTCATCAAGTGGCGTAAGAACGGTATTGCCACACGCGATGAAGGTTTGATGTTCAATGAGCTCGAGAAATTGATGAATGAAGAAAAACTAACGCCAGCTCAAGTTGAAGCATGGAATAAGAAACAGATGATGAAGACAGAGTCGCCTGAGTTCAGAGCTACATTAATTAGGCAGCTCCTCGACACTTCCGAAAATAATCTTTGCCATCAACTCTCAATTTCACCGAATATGTACTTGAACCTCAAAGATCTGCTTATCAGAGAATTCACTGCACGCGGAGAGATAACAGAAGAGCTCGCAGTTTCATTTTCTCCGGGTCAAGAAGAATATATGAGAAAAGTTTACGAACATATCAAGGCGAAAGGTTTGTTTTGGAATCCTGCAGAGAAGTCTAAGCCAAAACAAGAACAAAAGAAACATAACGAGTGATTTTTTTTATTAATATTTTATTTTGTTTTTAATATACTGTATACTGTATCGATGATTTAATAGATCTATCATATTGATTATAAAGCTTATTTTTTTGTGTTTAAAAAAATTTCATCTGATATAACTTTTTTTCGAGATTATATCATGGATCTTATCATAGAGTATAATATTAGGCTTGTCTTATACTATATAGTGGTGCATATTACAGATCTAGATTTAATAGGTACAATTATCCAAGACACATTTGATTTTTCGTTTAAAATTACATAGATATCGAATGAGTTTATATATTTGATCTTCTTCTAATGAAATTCAATTTTTCCTTTTGATATCTTGAAAAACTTGATGCCATTAATCGTATAGTTTAACATAAATAGTATGATAAATAGATTGTATTATATAAATTTCTATCAAATGCTGTATTTCAATTGAGTTTGGATCGATATCGCGTTCTAAACTTAAGAGATATGTAAATTAAAAACACATATGTACACTATATAAATGGTATATATTATGCATGTCAATATCAATATTTGAAGTTTGCATTTTGCAATATCAAAGACTGAATTGAAAAATAGCTTCGCCTTAGTTTTAAAGAGTCTAGTTATTTCATAGTTAAATCCTTTTATAGTATCAAACAATTTATTCATAAAAAAAAATATTACATCATATGGTAATTATAAAAAGAAGGAAACAACAAGTAGTAAAATCAATAACCGCATTCAACAAAGGTGTCTAACCTTGGAGAGCGCGATGCTTCTTTGGGAAATGGATATGGAATTGAGTTTGGCTTGCGAGGCTTAACAATTCGAGCAGACTGATTTCCATTATGTGCACTTTGAGTGTATGATGCACGATTTTGATCATTGGACTCAAATTTTCTTGTATCATTTGAAGTTGTGTATCGATTTCCAGTTCGTTTAAATCTATGACTTCTTTCTGTTGCCTGTGCTGAAGGCATTTGAGGAATGAATGGTTCGATCGGAATAGGAGGAACAGGAGCTTCAACGTGCAATATATCAGCCAGTTGTTGATTTAACTTATCGAGATCATCTGACATATTCTGCGCAAATAGCTCCCATTGAGTAGGAGTACGCCATGTCGTGGATGACATCACAATAATTTACGTTAGTATTCGTCACCTTTTGTTTACAAAAATTTATTTTTGAGGACTCGAGGCACTCGGATCGGCCAAAGAAAACATATCGTTCGAAATTGCTAAGAGGAACATTATAATTCAATTTTTAAATTAGAATTTTCAAGTCCATATTGTTTTCAAGTCCGATAAAGTATACGAGTCAAAACAATTTTTGAATTGTTTCAGCAAGAACAGAATTCATGCAAGATACTCTCAAGCTATATCGTACATATCACAAGGTTCACCAGAACGAGTTCATATTGTTTAATTTTATTCATATAAATTTGCCGAATTTTATTTGTTTGATCAAACAACTTTATTTCTTGAAACCAACAGATAATACAACAAAGCTGCCAAAACCATAAAGGTTTCATCATACATGATAGTTTTTACAGAATCGCAGATATCAACTTTTTACTTTTTAAAATATTATTTATTATTATGATTACAGTAACATTTAATAATAAATTTCAATGCGGTTATTCTAAAGAAATTCTGAAAAAATAATCATTCTCTTAAATAAAATGAAAAATTATACTTTATATCTAATTCCAAGATCAAGTTGCAAAAAATTGAGAAAATATTTAAAAAGTTTTACGTCTAGGGAATGAAATCTTTCCTATCTTCTCCCTCTTCCACTAAAGGAGATAGGGATCCACAGACATTTAAAGCTTTAATAAAGGAATTTAGTGAAAGAATACAGAAATTTCCACTTATTCCTCAAGATAAAGATTCTATAGAACCGTTACTAGAGAATTTTCAAGCAGCTGGATTGAATTTTCTCAAACGACATGATAAATCATTACTTCCAGGTTTGTATGTAGCATGGTCTAGCTTCAAAAGAGTTTTTCAAAAATTTGCAAAGGCAAATTACATAGATTTAGTTCATATTTATATCGATTTTGAAGTTACCGAATTCAATAAGATATTGTCCGAAGTTATTGAAAATATACAAACAGATTCCAACGAAATACAGTTATTGATGAAAGATGCACCAAAAAGAGTTCAAAAATTATTCAAGACAAGTGAGAAATTACCAACTCTTATCAATGATAACAGTGATGATGGATTTCGCGATATTGTTTCACAAGCATATCAAATTTTCGAGAAATTTAGATCGCAATTATTGTCTCAGTACAAAGTTTTATTTGAAGTTACAAAAATTAGCAACTTTGACACAAAAGCCAAGTACTCCATGGCTAATTTTTATATAAATAACTGCCTTGGAGTTTTACTTGATCCAAAGACTCACAAACCAATTAAAAATTCGATTACATTCGATAATTACTGGATATTAGGCTTCCATACTCCAATTTGGAACGCATTAATAGATAAAGCCGAAAAAACAATTTCTAAACTATTTGGAGACATATACACAGTAATTAATACAACACCACCTCCATCACAGGTGTCACAGAAGCCATATCCAGAAGATTCTGACTCAGATTCTTCGGATGATAAAGATAATCAGAAAAAGGAATATCTTAGCAACGCAAAACTCGACACAATCAGTCGCCAAATCCGAGAACTTCGTGCTGTTGCTGATAATATCCAAGACGACGTAATAGAAGCAAATCGAAAGATTGATCAGAACAAAATCCAAGTTTTAACACGCGAACAATTGGAAGAAGAGAACAAGAGACTTAATTTAGAGAAATCACAACTTGATTCTTCAAATAACCAGTTAAATGACGATAAACATCGACTTCAAAGTCTTTTAAACATAACTTTGCAAAAAATGAAAGGAGACAATCCAAGTGAAGACACAAACTTCACAGACGACATGCTCAGTCTTCAGAGAGAACGTGATGAGTTATTCGCCAAAAATAGCTATTTGGAAAAACAGTTACAAAGAGAAAAAATTCATTCAACAAAATTGATGGCAGCATCCGAAATCGAAAGTTCTACAGTTCCTGCTGATAAGAACATTGATGATCTATGGAAGATGTACATTGCTGTTGTGAAAGAGAATGAAAACAGAAGGGATAAAGAAAGAGAAGACATGGAAACAATTGTTCAAATGAAAAATGACTTAGAAAACAAAAAACAACTCGAAAGGGATAATGATGAACTATCAAAGACAGTGATTAAACTGCAAAATGAGTTAAATGCTAATAAAGTACTTATGCAGAAGATAAACAGTGAGCTTGGATTCGAAAAAGTTGTAAAAATGCTTAATAATTTAACAGAATTAGTTTCAAATGATGACAAAGAAGAATTAGTTCAATTGAAAGAAGAAAACAAAAATCTCAAAACAAAGAATGATAAAAGTAAAGCTAAAATTGAGAAATTAAAGAAAGATCTTGAAGATCTCAAACAAGAAATCAAAGAAAGTCAATCAAAACATGGAGAAAATCTTCAAAACATGATTGAAAACAATAAAGATATTTCAAACAAATTAAATCAATTAACTGCTGAAAATGCAAAGTTAAATTCCATTTTGCAGAACTACGAGAAACTTAAACAATCCAATTCTCAACTGCAAAATGATTATACAGCACTCCAGAATAACAATAACCAGTTGCAAAACAATATTTCTCAGTTGAAAGCTAAAATTGAAAGTGCTGATGCAAATTCAAAGAATTTATCCGACCAATTATCAAAGATGAGAGATCAAAATGAGTATTTGATTAAGCAGAATCATCAGTTGGATAATAATATAAGTGTTTTGGAAAGCAAACTCCAAGAGAAAGACAATCTTTATAAGAATTTATCAGAGCAATTATCAAAACAGAAAAGTCAAAATGATGACTTTTTGAATAGAACTTCGAGTTTGGAAAACCAAAAACAAAACTACGAAAAAGAACTTAAGGATCTCAAAGACAAACTCGAGGACCTCAACAAACAAAATAAAGCTCTTAAAAATGAAAATGATAAAATGGTCACTTCACTTCACAACATGGAAACTGCCAAATCATCATTAGAAGGCAAACTTGAGATATCCGACAACATGGTCAAATCATTGAAAGACCAATTATCAAATTCTTCATCGATATCGCAATCGAACAAACAACTCCAAGACCTCTATGAAAATGAAAGAAAAGAAACTAAAGCATTAAATGAAAAAATGGCAGCACTGAAACAACAAATGTCACTTTTAGAAGTTAAATTACACAATACAGAGGCAGAAGGAGAGAAAATGAAGAACGAGAACTTGATGCTGAAGAGTGAAAATGATAAATTGAAGAGTGATTCAGATAAAACAGCTTCACAAGTCGAGAAACTCGAAAAGGACTTGAAGAAATCAAAGAAAGATTTGTCTCAACTTGAATCAGATTTCGAAAAAATTTCTGCAGAAAATGAAAGTTTGCAAAAAAAAATTGCTGATAAGAACAAGCTCAAGAACGAGACAACTGAGAAATCTACTTTGTTGGAACAGTATAAGAATGATAACAAGAAGAAAGATGAGATAATCAATCAACTCAAAGATAAAAAGAAGAAGATTAAACAAGAAAATGAACAAAATAAGAATAATCTTCAAAAAGTGACAGTTGAAAATACATCACTTCAAAAAGATTTGCAGAAATCTCAGAATGATTTACAGAAATCACAGAACGATTTACAGAAATCCCAAAATGACTTGCAAAAGTTAACAACAGAAAATGTAAATCTACAGAAAGATTTACAGAAAGTTCAAAGTGATTTGCAAAAATTGCAGCAAGAAAGAGAAAAATTACAAGAAAATATGGAAAACAAGAACACACAGATGAAAGGAGATTTCGAGAAAATTAGAGCTAATTATGATAAGCTTAAGAGTGACTATGAGAAACTGAAATCAGACAACAATCAGCTCCAGAAAGAAGCTGATGAGAACAAACAAAAACTTGACAAAAAAGAAGAAAAAATTCAAAATCTCAAGCTCCAAATCCAGAATTTGCAGAAAGACCAGAGCTCAATGAAGTCATCTGAGATACAGAGACTCCAGAATGAACTAGAACAAATGAAAGCAAACAACAAATCACTTAAAGAAAACATTGAAGCTAAGAATAAAGAAATTGAACAAAATAAAGAGAAAAACAAAGCTCTTAAATCGAATTTGACTAATCTACAGAACAAGATCAATGAAATACAGAATGCTTTGACAGGAAAGGACAAAGAGAATCAGTTGCTTCAGAACGAACTCGCAAACAAAAACAAAGAAATTCAAAAACTCAAAGATGATCTTGAAAAAGCTAAAAGTGACAAAAACAAATCACAGAATGAGATTACAGATAAACTTAACTCCAAACTCGAGAAAGTTATGGCTGAGAAAGAAGATTTGCTCAAACAAAATGCAAATCTTCAGGCAGAAATGCAGAAACTCAAAGCAGAAAACGAAAAACTCAAAGGAATCCTCAAAAAGAAGACTGCTTACATCAATGATTACTATGCACAGACTGTTAAACTTGAGCAGAAATCATTCGGACTCCAGAAAGAAGTTGATTCTTTGGACGTTGTCAAGAAGAAATTCGACAAACTTTACACATCAAGAGAAGAAATTGACAACTTGTTCAAAGAATATGGTATACTTCAGAAGCTCTATAATGACCATGTCGACAAAGACAAATTAGTTCCTTACAAAGGAAAGGATATTGAAGTTGAGAAAATGCCTGCTTTGATAAGTGAAGTTAAAAAGAAATATGAAGACAAATTAAACAATTTTGAGAAACAAACTGTTTTAACAATTTATAATGAGAATGTTAAATTAATTCAGGCTTGCAACCACTATAAGAATGCAGCAGAGATTTCTTTGCAGGAAAGAGATGCAACAACGAAATTATTAAATGACATTATTTTAGAAAATGAAAAATTAGTTAATGGAGAAAAACCATCAAATGACCAAAATATTACACCTGAAATGAAAGTTAGATTGAATAACTTAGAACAAGAAAGAACTCAGATCTTGTCATCCTTGGCTAATGTTGAACAAACACTCAAAATTAAGACTGATAAAAATGCAAATATTATTATGAGATTGGATCAAGCCAGAGAGTCAATGGTGAAACAACTGTCTGAAGCAAGATGGTGCTACGATTTGGCTAAAGTTCCTGACGACCCACAGGCTTATGTTGATAAAATGAAGAATCAAATAGCTCAGTCAGATGAATATTACAGCGAAGATGATTCAAGTTCTTATGATTAATTTATATAGGGTGTCCAAAGGTGTGTTTAGCACAAACCTGAATACTGCGAATAGAAATAAACAAGTTACATATATATAAAGTTTATTTAAATATAATCACCATTGGATTCAATCACGCGTTCGCAGCGATCGATCCAGGCTTGAAAGACACGCTTTAAATCATCATGAGAAAATTGCTCAAATTGCTCTCTTACAAAATTTTCAAGATCATCTGGACTCGCGAATTCGCGTCCTTCAGCTCTCTTTTTTAGCGTGCCGAATAAATAAAAGTCAGAGGGTGCAATATCAGGTGAATAAATTGGGTTTGGAACAACTTTGACATTGTTTTTCACCAAGTAATTCATTACCTTATGACTTTTGTGAACTCTTGAATTATCAAAATGAATTGCAAACTTTTGTTTTTGTTGTTTGGATTTCTCAAACTCATCAGAATTGATAATTTGAGTAAGAACATTGTCAATTAGATACTGAGCATTCATCGTATTAGGTTTTTGAAGAATATCAATTGCGATGATGCCATTCACGCCCCAAAAAACCGACAACATCATCATTGGTGTGTTAATTTTTTTCTTCGGGAATGTTTGCGGATTTTCATCCTTCGGGATCCACATGATTTTGGCTTCTGTTGCATATTGAAACCAAGACTCGTCCCCTGTTACTAAAAAGCGAAACTTCTTGGATTGATACGCACCCAATATAGAGAGGAGCTCTTTCGAAGATTGGACTCTAGATTTTTTTTGAACTGAATTAAGGTTGTGCGGAACCCAACGTGTATACGCTAGTTTGTAGTTCAAATAATTGTGCAGATAATAACTGACTGTTGTACGTGGTATCTTTGTCATCTCCTCTATCCTTCTGAGTGATGCTCTTGGGTCTTCATCTAGCGCTTGAAGAATTGCTTTGATTTTTCTTTGATCCGGCGATTTTTTGTCAATTTTTATGATGGGCGCCTTTTTGTTCATGAAGTGATACATCCTAACATGATACGTTACAGTGGAATAGCTAGGAGCATCCATACCGAAGCATTTTACCAATGTCTCGTAGATTTTTTTACAGTCTTTGCATTTTTTTGCAAGAGCGAGGATGTTTTCTTTATGATTCATTAAAAAAATGAAAAAAATCCCGCCAAAATTTCCCGCGAAACCGCCTCTTGTCTCAAAATTCATTTTATATCCCGGCATGGCGCAAAAATACAACATACTCATCATATACATATATTCATATTTTTTATTATATATTTATAATCAGCATATATCTCCTTTAATAGTCTCATATAGAGCGCTGTGCTAAACGCACCTTTGGACACCCTATATAAATTTATTTTTAATTGATGTTTTAAAAGCAATTATTTTATAACTTTTTAAAATATTTCTTTGGTTTAAAATTTTAAATTGATTACACGATAGTTCTTCCAATGTTAGGGACATTTCTTTCCTGTGAAACTGCTTATGCTATTAAGGCTGCACTTACCCCCATCCGACTTTAATTCAAATTTTTGACAACCTGCGAGAAGTGTTTGAATTGAAAGACATGTCATTGGCGTGTAAGTGCACCCTTAAGATATATTTTTGTTTATTATGAAATTATGATATAAATTAGTATCAAAATTTAATTTTAGGTATTTTCGCAACAAATTAACATCATATAAGTTTTTTTATTCAACGATTTTTTGAGAAAAAATGGAGGCGGGGGGAATCGAACCCCCAGCCTCAACTATGCTAAAGTCGCACTCTACCACTGAGCCACACCCCCTGACATTATTTTTTGATTTTATTATTATTTATTAGTTTTAACATCATATATCTTCAGTTTATTAATCAACCAATTTAAATATACTATATTCAACAGCAAGTTGGCCATATAGAAGCAGATAGCCGTATTGGCCTGCATTTCATTCTCGCTAGAAGTATTCAACTGGTACAACATGTTCGTATTTGAGTGAAATGCATTTTTAATATGTTTTTTCTTGGATAAATAATTAGAGTATACGGAAGACATTGGTACGATGAAGTTTTTTAAACAAATTATGGCTATTGTTTAATTTCATATGGTTTTTCAATATTTTGAAAATATAACCTGAAGAAATGCAATAGTTTTCAGATGTTCTAATTGTGGCAATGAAATTATTAAATAAATATCATTGTTGCAATATCATTTCAATAAAAAGTCATAGATTTTGGTGTTCCTGCAATTGATTTAGGTCAGGTGAGTGGGGCTTCCAGGCGCGTTGCGCCCTCTAGCCCATAAGAAATTTTGCCCAAGACCCAAGAGGAGGACCGAACCCCAGCCGACCAGCCGGTTACAAAACCAAAACCGTTGTTATTTACATCATATTAATAGTGTCACTTTTCACAAATTATATATGTTTTCATGTTTTGTCACTTTTCTGTCATTTTTCGGGTAAAAACATTTTTATTATTATATATAAATGAATTTTACAAAACCGCCGTTACCGTTCTTTGGAAATAAGAGTAAATGTAAAGATATTCTATTGAGAGAACTTAAGAAACTACCGAATGGTCTAACATTTGTAGATTTGTTCGGTGGAAGTTTCTATATATCCCATTTATGTCATACCGTATTTCCTGACTCAAAGATTATATGCAATGACTTCGACAACTATATGGACCGTCTCAAACATATTCAGACACAAACAATATATTGAAAGAGTTAAAAAGAAAAGATACCTATAAGGTAAGATGGAACGTATACCATTAGATAAAAAATATTGTGAGAGAGGTTTGAAAAAAGCAGAATATATAGACTGGGATAGTATATTCTGCTAGACTATTATATAGTGGTTCTATAAGAGTTCATGACATTGAAACACTTATGTCAAAAGTTTTATATCTTAACTATAACAAATGTTTTCAAAGAGGACATAGAAAATATATTGAGGGTATAGAGTTTGTGAGATGTCATTGGACAGAGTTGTGATGAAAAATATAACGACAAGGAAAATGTTTTCTTTATAGTGGACCCGCCGTTCTATACACATGGGATTTTCAATACCAAGTAGACTGGACTTTGAGAGACTCTTTAGAAACTTTAGACGTTATACATAACCATCCATGCTTTTACTTTACATCCGATAAAAGTGGTTTGGAACCGTTATGAGATGGTTAGGGACATACATGACTATGAGTTTATATATGACAAGATAGAATATGAGAGAGGTCCTATAAACTGGAGAAAGTGTCACAATAAAGAAATTTATTAGTAAGTAAATGTGGTTTGAAATAGGACTACTTGTTTAGTTTTTTTCCATTTGTGATTTATTTATTTGACGTGGCAGAAAAGGTACAGAGAATATGAAGATGAACCAATGCCTGCAAATGTTCAGTATATGTACTCGTAAGAGATATTTTATATCTAATATTAAATGGACGCACAGAACTTAGCGAATGCACAGCAACCTGGACAACCAAACCAGAGAATATTCCAAATGAAGTTAGAATACAAAACTGCATAGGCAAACTATGGTCAAGTGCCAACAATGTACAATGCAAACTGCCATGTCAAATGACGCTGCGTTAGGTTTGCCACCATGGTATGCAAATATGAGATGGAAAGAGTTTTATACAAAACCTGAAGTGGATATAAACAACTTTATGCAGATGACGCGAACACAGGAGTTGACCCAGAATGTTTTCTACCAGAGGAGAAACAGAATGTATGGCTACCAGTTAAGAATGACATAGTCATAGAACTCCAGACAGAAAGCAAAAGACTAGGCGGACATTAGATTTTACACGTAGTAATGGGTTTCTTCAGTAAGATAGGAAACTTCTTCGAAATGTGGAAGAGGTATATGGAATGGAATAAAATCTGTCGGAAGAGGAGTATGGAACGGTGTCAAAAATATTGGTAAAAGAGTAGGTCAGTTTGTTGGTATTATACCTAAAGACCCTGAACCAGAAGAACAAGCTCCTGTAAATACAACAGCCTGAACCTGCACCACAGTCAAGTTGGCAACCACAACCGGTATATTAAAAAGTTATATTTTTATCGTTCGATAGTAGTTGTATGTGAAACTAAGTTCTAAGTAAACGCATGGTATAATGGAGTTATTCTTTTTCTTCCATCTGTAGTAAACAATACTTGAAAGTCTGAAATACTTCAACCTGGTGGTTCGTATAAATTTGTAGGTTTTTCGTAAAAGTCATTTGCCAAGCATAAGAAAAGAGTTTTGGGCGCCAGAAAATGAAGCATGAACAATAATAGCATCTGGGTCGAAAACATTTTCATATGTTCCATTAGGGTTTTCGACTTCATAATAGTCCGGGTGTACTGGATATGCTGCAGGCTGATTTAACATCCTCATAAATCTATACCATGCAAGTGTTGTTATATTTGTGTGAAATATAAACGTTTTCTCAAGGTCTTCTATTTTATTGATTTAACAGTTGCATTTTTCCTGTCATAAATAATATCGAGATGGTATTCTCCTTCGTCAATGTTATACTGGTTTGCATATTCAATATAGATATCGTTTATTTTTTCTTGAAAAGCTTGAAGAGTTATTTCTAAGTTTATATAAGCAAATTAACTTGTAAAAGTTTTCCTTGTTCAAATTTCTCATACATACGTTTTTTCTTTGTTATAGTATCGAACTTCAAAACCGACCGTAAATGGGAAACCATGTATGGCTTCTGAAATGAACTTTATTCTTCGAAAGCCAATAGCTTTTGTGACAGATGGGTCTCTTAACCATCTTAATGGGTAGTCAAAACGATAGCCTTCATGCTTTACGGTATCTGTCTCAAACTTTTGACCGACATTAGTAAAAAGTTCATCTAATGGTTTAGTTGTAGCAACTCTAGAATTTTTCTTTTTCTATTGGAAAATTTTTAATCTTAATAAAAAAATGTCATAATGAAACAGCGTCTATGAGAGAAATAACAACACAACCGACAACTCATTATGCAAGCTCTAATTAAGAAAAACAACAAACTTTTCAAACTTTCTAAGATATCTGAGTCATTGAAAGGGGGTGACTT